CCTACAGAGTGGTGAGTCTGCCTCTCACTCGAGGGCTTAGCTGCAGTCCAGTACTCGCCTAAGTAATAAAAAATCCTACCGAGTGGTTAGCAATCCTCCCACTCGGGGGCTTAGCTGCAGTCCAGTACTCGCCTAACTTTGAAAAATCCTACCGAGTGGGGAACAATCCTCCCACTCGGGGGCTTAGCAGAAGTCCAGTACTCGCCTAAATTTGAAAAACCCTACCGAGTGGTGAGCGATCCTCCCACTCGGGGGCTTACCTGCAGTCCAGTACTCGCCTAAGTCGAAAAAATCCTACCGAGTGGTGAGCGATCCTCCCACTCAGAGGCTTAGCTGCAGTCCAGTACTCACCTAAGTTTGAAAAATCTTACCGAGTGGTGAGCGATCCTCCCACTCGGGGGCTTAGCAAAGCGCGGGTCGGCCACGACCACCACCTCAGAGTTGTACCATCAAGAAGAAGGACGAGATTGAGCGTGTCGCCAAGGCGAGCCACACTCAGGAACGTCAAGACCATTACTGAATACCTCGTTGATGAGTTGACCGGCCCCGCCGAATGGTGCGGGTCGACTGCGACCCAAAGCAGACGGCTGACAGGAACGTCAAGACCATTGCAGAGTGCCTTGCTGGTGAGCTGAGACAGGAACGTCAAGATCATTGTTGAGGGCCTTGCTGATAAGATGATCAATGTTGCTCACGGATCGTCCAGCTGGTCGACTGCTGATTCCTCTTCAGAAGCTGTATCAAGCAAACAGAAACCAATCCGAGAGAAGAACAAGTTCGATCAGTACCAGCTAAAAAGAGTTTTAGTTCTCTCAGACCCCCGCCGACTGCCCGCAGTTGATGGCGGTCTCGGGGACTACACCCAGTGGGTGCACTAAGCGTGCCCCAACTGGAGTAATCTCCACTCGGTATGGCCTAACCAGTCCGAGTGATGAACAACAACAAAAAAGACAGGCTCTAAGACTCCCGCCGACTGCCCACAGTCGACGGCAGTCTCGGGGACTACACCCAGTGGGTGCACTCAGCGTGCCCCCACTAGAATGGTATCCACTCAGAATGGTCCGCCCGGTCCGAGTGACGACCAAACAACAAAAAAAGACACGTTCCAGGTGTGAGGAAATTCCGAGTAATCAGTTACTCGATGCAGGACCAGCTCCAAATCACTCCAAAAAAATTGCTATAAGGTGAGTTCAACGCTCCTCCGCGGACCCGTTTGAGCTCATTTCACTCGGACACCATGCAGTCTGCAATCCTTCAAGGCAACAGGCGGAGATAAGACCGCCGGGTGACCAGAGGAAGTTCATAAGTGCCTCCGTAGCACTCGACTCATCTGGGAATACACCTCGACTCGACCCGCTCAACCTCGAACGATTCGGGGGCTAATGACGAGGACATGTATTAGGGGTAGGGTAACAGGCCTGACCTAAAGACCCTACCCATGGACACCATACACTTTGTACTGGGCCCCTGGGCCAGATCGCCGTCCAGATGTACCGTAACTTGAAAGTCACTCGGACGGCAACAACCGCTCAGAGCACGGCACTCCACTCGACGAGCTCATTCCACTCGGCCATGTAACTCACTCGGATATGCGAAGACCAATAGTCAGCATGACGGTTTTGTTGTGGGCAGACATTATGGCATTGATGCTCCACTTTGTAACATAGGAGGTGAGGGGGTGGCGCACTCTATATAAGTCATCCCCACCACTAGACTGGGGGGCTTTTTTCTACCACCTTTCTCTCTTTTCACCATTAGTCGCAGGACTTAGCTCAGACATGGGGATCCGTTCCTCTCTCTCACACACACATTGTAATCTTCGGATATATACTCAGATAAAACAAAGCCTCTCCGGAGCACGAGACGTAGGGTTGTTATCTCCACCGTGAGAGGCCCGAACTCGCTAAAACCACCGTGTCACCCATATGCATCTCGATAGATCATGCTCCGTTACCCTATACCTTATTACTGTCGGAATCGTTCCCACGACACCCATCTAGGGTTTCCCTATGGCCGCCACCCCTCCCCTAGGGAACCCTAGGGCGCCTCGTCCAGCCTCTTACCCCTATATATAGTGAGGGGGTGAGAGGCCAGCCGCACCCTTCCCCTGGCGCAGCCCCTCCCTCCTCCAACACCTCCTCCTCCTCCGTAGTGCTTGGCGAAGCCCTGTCGGAGAACCACGAGCTCCATCGCCACCACGTCGTTGTGCTGCTGGAGTTTTCCCTCAAATTCTCCTCTCCCCTTGCTGGATCAAGAAGGAGGAGACGTCCCCGGGCTGTACGTGTGTTGAACGTGGAGGCGCCGTCCGTTCGGCGCTTAGATCGGAATCGACCGTGATCTGAATCGCTGCGTGTACGACTCCACCAACCGCGTTCTTGTAACGCTTCCGCGTCGCGATCTTCAAGGGTATGAAGATACACTCATCCTCTCTCTCTCTTGTTGCTAGAATCTCCATAGATTGATCTTGGTGATGCGTAGAAAATTTTGAATTATTGCTACGTTCCCCAACAACCGCCATCCGAACTGGTTGAATATAGCCCGTGCTACCATCTCCCACTGGTTGCACCCAGTAACCAAAGGCTCCCTGGATTCCAAAGGAGTGAGTAAGGACCACGTACGGATCCAAGCAGTAGCTCTGAAGATGACCTGCAAGAAAGTTAAAGTGTGTTGTCTGTTAAAAATCAAATCATTCCTACAGTTCCATATAGCCCACAGAAGCGCACGTATTCCAATTCGAATACGAGCCGCAGTACTATGTTCAACCCCAGTTAACCATGTTCCAGACAACGACTCAATGTCCACTGGAGGATTAATGTTGAAGGCTATATGAATCGTTCTCCAAAGCAACTTGGCAAGTGAGCATTCAAGGAATAAATGTTGTATTGTTTCATCATGATCACAAAAACAACAACGTGAACTACCTACCCATCACCTCTTGATTAAGTTATCCTTGGTGAATATTACTTGCTTGTGGACAAACCACATGAAGATTTTAATACGCAAGGGAATCTTAATCTTCCAAATATGCAACGATCTCGAGATTGGGCCAGAATTAATCAAATCCATATAAAAAGATTTTACCGCAAATACCTCATTTTTAGTTAATTTCCATTGCATCAAATCCGGTTGGTCAGAGAGTTGAACATCTATCAATCTCCGGACCAAGTGCATCCCCGCAGCCCATCGCTCACCAACTAACGCGCGTCTGAACTGAATGTTCAGGGGAATCGTTTGGAAAACTGTGCCTACGTAATCCTCCTTACGTTGCACAATGTTATAAAGGGTGGGGTATTGTACGGCCAAGGGCGTCTCTCCTAACCACGTATCCTCCCAAAATCTTGTTAACATCCCATTGCCAATCAATAATTTAACTGTATGAAAGAACAAGTCTTTCGTTCTCATAAGCCTTTCCAGAACAGCGAGTCAGTTGGCCTCATAGTAACCTGGGCAAGGGTTTTCGTCTGTAAATAAATATCAAAAAAGTTTACCAAAAAATAGGATTTTTTATGTTTTTACTATTTGTCTTGATTTTTACTGTTAATCAAACATCATTTAAACTCGGGAGCAGATACTTCAGTCCGTGAAAAGGGGCTCTTCATTGTACGTTCCCACAGACCCCCAGGGTTATATTATACGGGCAACACCCCTCTCATAATCCAAAAAAAAAAAGGACGTGCAACATCGTTGCAGTGGACGCCGAGCGTGAGCCTACCGGAACGAAGCGACCGAGGAGGACTAGCCGGCTTGGCTCATCCGTGTCACGAATGAGGCGAAGCGGCGCCAGTTGTCGGGCTGGAACAGGTCGAGGCCCATGCGGAGGTACGTGAACGCCACCATCCGCTCCTCCCGAGCAGTGGCCACCACCTGGTCGTGCGCCGCATCGTCGTACCGGGGCAGCGCGTTCTCACCGGCCAGGCCGACGCCGGCCTCGCGGGCGGCCGCGGCCACACGCCACACCAGGCCCTCGGGACGGCACCGCGCGTCCCGTGGCTGCTCCTGGTCGCGCATCTCCACGCAGGTGAAGTTGAGCACGGCGCCGTAACGGCCCAGCATGCGCGCGATCGGGAGGTACCCGTCGCGGCGCCGCGTGTTGTAGTACCCAGCCGTGAGCTCCGGCGCGTGCGACTCTGTGTCGTAGTGCCAGTGGATGCCGGCGACCTTGACCGATAGATGGACGCCGGGCTCGTGGCCGAACACGGACGCCGCGCCGGACAGAACGCGGTCACCGTGCTCCAGGAGCATCCGCGAGTACCAGGACATGAAGAACTGGCCGTACCCCGAGTCCCAGCCACCGCCGTCCTGGCGGAAGAAGTCCGTGTCGTCCGGCCGGCTGTTGTAGCCGCCGGCGTCCGTCGGCCCGCCCAAGCCCCAGTCCGGATTGCCCGCCGCCTCCGCTGCCATCTTCAGGCTGTTGAGCAAATACTGCACGAGGAAAAACAGAGCTAAAATGTCAAGAAACTTTCGAGATACAGGCAGGCTCACTCACCATTTGAATTCAACCGGAGCTGAAATACCTTATCGTAGCATTGGAAGGCGCCGATGCCGGGGAATGCCCAGGTTCCTTCGCTCTCCGGGTACGACGGGTACCGTAGCTCGCCCGCCGGCCCCATGCCGACTTGTACTTCCTGCACGCCGGAACAAGGCAAATCGGCGCCGGTACAACGGCAACTACGAAAACAGAGAAACCTAATCAACTGCGTGGGACTTACGACGACGGTGTCCCCGAGGAAGGCGGCGAAGTGGTCGCGAAAGGCGCGCATGAAGTCGGTGTAGCACCGGATGGGCGTGCGTCCGTCGAGGACGGGCATGTCGTCGCAGCCGAGTGAGACGTACTCGTAGCTGCGGCGTCCGCATTGGTCAGTGTAGGCGAGGTCCTGGTCTTTGTCCATCTCCTCCACCACCCACCGCGGCAGCGGGATGCTGCCATCACCCACGAAGACGAGCAAACAAATGTCACAAACGCCGCAAAAAAAGAAGGGATCGGACGAAATGGCCTCACTTGACGGTGTCGCCGACGTTGCCGCCGCACTGGTGGAAGGACATGACGGCCTGGACCTTGAGCCTGGCATCGCGCGCCATCTCGACGAGCTTCATGTACCCTTCGAAGTTGTACAGCCCCGGCTCCTCGGCCTCCACGACGCCCCACCACACGTCCACCATGATTCCCTCCACGCCCGAGCTCTTGAGAGCCGCCAGATCCCGCGCCATGGTCTTCCGGTGGTTCAGACCGCTCCCGCAGCACGTCTTGACCGTGTCCAGCGGCATCATCACGAACACCGGCACCCCAGACTTCCTCGCCGAGGATGATTGCCCGGCAGCGGCGGCGCTCTCGGCCATCGCCTGGCACGCAAGCAAGGCACAAAGTGTTGATTTGGTGATCTGGTTTCCAAATCTCAAAGTGCTTCTTTGCGTGCGGTCATTGACTTTTTTCCTTTATGCTCCAGTTTTTTCTCGAAAACATTATTTGACGCCCATCAGTTTTTTAACAACTCCCAACCAACGCCCTCCTCACCGTTGCGCGGATCTCAGAGCAGGGCTGATGCCACGTCATATTTTGAACTGGTTCGTGCAAGGATTCAGATGCATTCGCCTGGCCTTGCGCTGCGTCAGGAACGTGCATGGCCCGATCGGTGTATCAGAGGCTATGCCTCGGGCTCACGAGATCTCCAATGTACGAATGCATATGGAGAAGTGGAGCTATACTCAAATGCAAAATCTTTACTTGGCTGGCGGCCAAATATAGATTGTGGACATCGGATAGATGTACGGCGCATGGACTGCAGGACGATACGACTGTTTGCTATCTCCGCCTCCAAGAGGAAGACACCGTGAATCACATATTGATGCACTATGGTATGCTAAAGAAGTGTGGCACTTATACTTCACCAGAGTTGAAGTCGCAACACCCCATTCGGTTCAAAGTGCCACCTTTGCCGCATGGTGATTGGAGGCTAGGAAGGCAATCCCAACAAAAGCAAAGGAGAGGCTTCGACACATTGCTCATAGTCATAGCTTGTCTATATCGAAACAACGGAATGCACGAGTTTTTTGACGCATGGAGCAGCAGAGTACATCACATCTCTTGGTTGGCCAGATTATGGATGGGCTAAAAGATTGGCATATGACGGGAGTTGGGATCTAGAACCTTTGGTGAGAGAGTAGGCTAGAACTTGTATGTGTGGTGTGGCTGTTGCTAGCCGGATGACCACATCCGCGTCTAGCTTCTTATAATTTTTTTGCTTCCTTCTATAAAAATATGGCAAGCCTTTGGCGTATTCTCAAAAAAAAAAAACTTAGTTCGTGTACGATAAAATCCGTAGACCTGGGTTTAAATCCTATGCCCTCCTTCTTTTTGCTACATGGCACTTTTCTAGAAAATTTGCCAGGACAGTTTTAACAATTTTGTAAAATATGTTACATGGCACCCAGGCCCTTTTTCTGCTACATGACATTTTTATAAAAAAATTGTCATGGTAGTTTTAATAATTTTGTGAAATATGTTACATGGCAATTTAAATACATTTTCTCACAAGTCAATTGTTTTTGTAGATGAAATGTTTATTATTGTGACATGGAATTTTTATTATTATTAAGAGATGGCTTTTTTATTATTAGAGATGACATTTTTTATTATAAAGAGATGACCTTTTTTTATCCTAAATAGACGGCATTTTTGTTTATTAAGAGATGATGTTTTTTTGTTTATTAGAATTGATGGCATTTTATTATTAAGACATGCCATTTTTTTTGTTTATTAGAAGATATGCCATTTTTTGTTTATTAAGAGATGGCATTTTATTCAGTTTTTGTATTTGGTCCATGGAAAAAAATGAAAAAATTGAAAAAAATATATTTTTTCCATACATCTATGGCAGTTCTATAAAGTAGAATGACTTTTTTCATATCATGGCACTCACGGATTTATGTTTTTGTCCGTGCTTGATCCTAGGTTGCTCCAAAACACATGTAGACACAAGAAAACAAAGAATACTTGTGAAAACTAAATAAAAACACAAATGGGCAATAAAAAGTGCAAAACCCGATAATAGTGCATAATGGACAATTATTTGGTTCAATGGGACGTAATATATGAAGAGAACATGCAACAAATAAGCTCTAAAAATGCTTAAAATATAGAGCCATCGAGATAGTACCTGCCTTTTCCCCAGAAGACCATGGGTATCGAACCTACGTGAGGGATGACTAATTGAGAGATGATTCTCGCAAGCTTCTGTCGTCGTAAATAGTTCCCAGACCGAAATAGCATAGTTTGGCGAGAAAACAATAGTAGGAAAATAGGAAATGGCTTAAGGTCTTAACTTGCAGTCGTACACTTGCACTTGGGATTTCATTTAAATATTTAACATGGTCGTGGTAGACACAGCTACTTATGTGTTACCAACGTGTATGTGAGGGGGACGCATCCTAATAACCTCACGACCGTGTTGGGAAACGTTGCATGAAAAACAAAAAATTTTCTACGCACACACAAGATCTATCCATGAAGATGTATAACAACGAGAGGGGGAGAGTGTGTCTACATACCCTCGTAGACCGGTAGCGGAAGCGTTTCACAACGCGGTTGATGTAGTCGAACTTTCTTCGTGATCCAACCGATCAAGTACCGAACGCACGACACCTCCGCGTTCAGCACACGCTTAGCTCGGTGACGTCCGCGCCTTCTTGATCCAGCAAGACGGCGAGGTAGTGGATGAGTTCCGACAGCACGATGGCGTGATGATAGTGATGATGAAGCTATCTCTACAGGGCTTCACCTAGGAACTACAAAAATATGACCGGGGGTGTAAACGGTGGAGGGGTGCCGCACATGGCTAAAGGATTGATGTGCCTGTTGGGAAACGTAGCATGCAATTTCAAAAAAAATCCTACGCTCACGGAAGATGTATGTGCTAAAGGATTAGGGTGACGCACATGGCTAAAGGATTGATGTGCCTCATCAAAACGCATATTCCAACTCCGAGATGCTTGCACCAGTCCATAAATAGATCACTGGAGCTTGCACACTTTATTAGCACCTTTAGGATCGACAAAACCTTCTGGTTGCATCATATACAACTCTTCTTTAAAAAATCCATTAAGGAATGTAGTTTTGACATCCATTTGCCAGATTTCATAAAATGTGGCAATTGCTAACATGATTCAGACAGACTTAAGCATCGCTACGAGTGAGATAATCTCATCATAGTCAACACCTTGAACTTGTCGAAAACCTTTTGCGACAAGTCGAGCTTTGTAGATAGTAACACTACCATCAGTGTCTGTCTTCCTCTTAAAGATCCATTTATTCTCAATGGCTTGCCGATCATTGGGCAAGTCCACCAAAGTCCACACTTTGTTCTCATACATGGATCCTATCTCAGATTTCATGGCATCAAGCCATTTTGCGGAATCTGGGCTCATCATCGCTGCCTCATAGTTCGTAGGTTCGTCATGGTCTAGTAACATGACCTCTAGAACAGGATTACCGTACCACTCTGGTGCGGAACGTGCTCTGGTTGACCTACAAGGTTCGGTAGTAACTTGATCCGAAGTTTCATGATCATTATCATTAGCTTCCTCTCTAGTTGGTGTAAGCATCATGGAACAATTTTCTATGATGAGCCACTTTCCAATTCGAGAGAAGGTACAATTACCTCACCAAGTTCTACTTTCCTCCCACTCACTTCTTTCGAGAGAAATTCCTTCTCTAGAAAGGATCCATTCTTAGCAACAAAGATCTTGCCTTCGGATTTGTGATAAAAGGTGTGCCCAGCAGTTTCAACGGATTTAGACGGTGCCCTATTTAACCTGAATGTAGATGTCTCTAATGCATAACCCCAAAATGATAGTGGTAAATCGGTAAGAGACATCATAGATCGCACCATATCTAATAAAGTACGGTTACGACATTCGGACACACCATTACGCTGTCGTGTTCCAGGTGGCGTGAGTTGTGAAACTATTCCACATTGTTTTAAATGAAGGCCAAACTCATAACTAAAATATTCGCCTCCGTGATTAGATCGTAGAAACTTTATTTTCTTGTTATGATGATTCTCCACTTCACTCTAAAATTCTTTAAACTTTTCAAATGTCTCAGACTTGTGTTTCATTAAGTAGATATACCCATATCTGCTCAAATCATCCGTGAAGCTCAGAAAATAACGATACCCGCCGCGAGCCTCAACACTCATCGGACTGCATACATCGGTATGTATTATTTCCAATAAGTCAGTGGCTTGCTCCATTGTTCCGGAGAAACGGAGTCTTAGTTATCTTGCCCATTAGGCATGGTTCGCAAGCATCAAATGATTCATAATCAAATGATTCCAAAAGTCCATCCGCATGGAGTTTCTTCATGCGCTTTACACCAATATGACCTAAACGGCGGTGCCACAAATATGTTGCACTATCATTATAAACTTTGCATCTTTTGGCATCAATATTATGAATATGTGTATCACTATGACCAAGATTCAATAAACCATTTACATTGGGTGTATGACCATAGAAGGTTTTATTCATGTAAACATAACAACAATTATTCTCTGACTTAAATGAATAACCGTATCGCAATAAACATGATCCAATCATATTCATGCTCAACGCAAACACCAAATAACATTTGTTTAGGTCCAACACTAATCCCGAAGGTAAAGAGAGTGCATGATAGTGATCTTATCAACCTTGGAATCATTTCCAACACACATCGTCACCTCGCCCTTAACTAGCCTTTGTTCATTTTGCAACTCATGTTTTGAGTTACTAATCTTAGCAACTGAACCGGTATCAAATACCCTGGGGGTTACTTTGAACACTAGTAAAGTACATATCAATAACATGTATATCAAATATACCTTTGTTCACTTTGCTATCCTTCTTATCCGCCAAGTATTGGGGTAGTTCCGCATCCAGTGACTATTCCCTTTGCAGTAGAAGCACTCAGTTTCAGGCTTAGGTCTAGCTTTGGGCTTCTTCACGGGAGTGGAAACTTGCTTGTCATTCTTCTTGAAGTTCCCTTTCTTTTTCTTTGCCCTTTTTCTTGAAACTAGTGATCTTGTCAACCAACAATACTTGATACTTTTTCTTGATTTCTACCTTTGTTCATTTCAGCATCGCGGAGAGCTTGGGAATCGTTTTCATCATCCCTTGTATATTATAGTTCATCATGAAGTTCTAGTAACTTGGTGATAGTGACTAGAGAACTATGTCAATCACTATCTTATCTGGAAGATTGACTCCCACTTGATTCAAGCGATTGTAGTACCCAGACATTCTGAGCACATGCTCACTAGCTGAGCTATTCCCCTCCATCTTGTAGGCAAAGTACTTGTTAG